AACATGTGTTGACGCTGGTAGTGACCTATTATGCTAACGTGTATTATCATCTGGAAGTAGCATTTGTTCAAAGAGTTCAAATTACAATGCCATATTTATCATCTAGCAACAAAAAATGGAATTATATACATTTTTATTAATAATGAATAATGAAAAAATATGAATAATGAAGAATTTTTTCCATCTTTATATTTAACACTTTAAAATAGCTCAACACTGTACTGAAACACTGCAAGTGAACTTGTGTGGTAAAACCAAGTATCTATTTCACTACTGATGTACTATACCCCATGTTTCTGGGTTTGTAGCCTCTATAATTACCCACATCCTCACCCAGTAAGACTTACTTACTTTTAACCTTGTGGTTTATATCTTATGGGGACCAGTCTTAAATTCCGGTTAATATTAAATCATTAACCTTTATGATATTGAGTATGGCCATATAAAACTAAAATGTGACTACACCCCCCAGTGGTTGAGTTAAAATACAACATCACTGATACTGATTATTCTTCAAAAAACTTTTAACTTGCGTTTTTGTAATGATATCACGAGGACTTACGTTATTGCAAGATGTTTTAAACCTTTTTTTTCATATCTGACTATTTTATTTAATGAGATTAGAAATACAATATTTATAAATATATACTATAAATACTTACAATTTACTGGTAATGCACAAAAATACATTGTTTAATGGTTTTATATAATAATTGTAATATGTTATAGTTAAAAATCTATGACACATTAAATTTCATCAACACAAACGTAACAGACACCTCTTATTGAAAAGGGCTTTGTGAAAGCTTTGCTTTAAACACAGGATAGGACCTGGTTGCTTGAATGCAGTTGTTATTGTTGTACAGAGGAAGGAAATTATCAGGAGTTTCCTTCAAAAGAGGAAAGTGCCCCTTTCCTTTCTGGAGAAGCAAACAATTCTGTAGTGAAAGAGTTTGAGCAGTCATGAGGATCATCCCTGTTGGCCATTCATTTTAAAAGATCCTTCCACCATTTGAATGTTGAGGAATATACTTCAAATCAGTTTCTCAGGTAAGAAGAAAGATTACTAAATATTACTGTTTTGTAGATATTTGCTGTAATTTAACTCACACTGTCCCTTTTGCCAGATGATCGTTTTGCCAAACAATATAAACTGAAAGCATAAATTAGTTTAGATGCAAGAAGGGCCAATCATAAACAAGACGTATATTGCAAATATATGTTTTATGAAGTTAAATATATTTGTGATGAACATATGGAAAGTTAAAATATGTGAAGTGAATGTTGAAGAAATGAAATTATTCACAGACTGCCTATTGAAAGACCTTTGTCTTTCCTTTGCCAGACAGAACTAAATACTGTGTTCAAACCTGTCTAATAATTTCCTAAATAGTATGCCATAGTCCATATGTTTGCTATACAGCAGTCTTGTCTGCTTCTTCAGCCATAAAATCACAGACTAAACACAATTTTCTGGCTTTCATAGTAAGTTGACAACCGAATTTCCTTTCTACATAAACTGAGTTAAGAATGTAATAGCAAACTATTAGGTAGTCTTCTGTTTTAAAGGTTGAAATCTCTATTGTGTGGAAAATCGAAGTGGCTTTTGGTGTGTGCACGTATAAGTGTACTTTCATGATTGTCATTTGAGTGCTTGTAATGAAGAGAGAACATAATGTGTTAGTGTGTGTTTTTTTATGTTTTGATGGCATTTTCTTTGATTGGATCTTGGTAGTTTCTGCCCAACAAATCACATCACACATGTTGAGATACAAGCTCGTTCTTACATTTTCAAAATAAATAATTAGCTAGCATTCGTGATACATAATTAGATAGCAACAAACAAAAACAAGCAAACAAAGGAAAAGATCAAGGGATTTCAAGGAAGGCATTACTTTAATTTAGTAGTTTGAATTTTTACACAATTTAATGTAATATATATCATTTAAGACATTTGACTGTCTAATCTTAATGGACTGCTGCTCTAAACCGACCGCTTACATTCAGTGACTGACTAGGCATGCAGCTATGGTATGTGTAGTGGGGAGACAGATGTTGGACGATAATATAGTTGACCATGCCAATCTGGCATCTCACATTTCATGTGTTGTGCAGTGTACAGCTAGACTGTGCCCTTGACTTCTGTGCAAACAAAAGAAATGACCCATTGCGATGTCACTGTGCATTATAGCATACTTGGACTTTCTAATGTATTTTTTCATTAAGAATCCATTCTGTTGTCATGATGCATTATTGGTAGCATTTTGAAAAATTGTTGGATTGGATGTTTTATGAGACTTTTTTTTTCACACAACTGTTTTAATATTCCTTTAACACATCTAGTCAGGATACAATTCCCCACATCTGCACCTTGATTTAAAAAAAAATCTTATAAAACATTAAATCCAGCTTCTAGACTAAGATGAATTAATATGTGGAGAATATATTTGCAGTGGAAAAGGGAAAATTTAAAGTTTCACTGAGTCCTGTCTAAGCTTCTGCATTCAAATTAGGAGAAAATCACTGTCTGATGTATTCAAGTAAGAAACTGTCTTGGAGAAAGATGTATAGTGTTTTGAAAGCTTCATCTGTAAGGATATATGGTAGAGGGTGATGAAGAAGAGTGCCGCAGGTAGTTCTAGCTTGCATGCTAGTTCGCTTTCATGTTAAACTGCAAAGGAGAACATTCATTTCCAGCACTGTTTTGCTACTGAAACACACAATTGCACAATGTAGTTTTTGTTGGTACACATCAAATGTTGTTTT